ATATAAGAGTAAAAAAGATTAAGGTATGTAACATTTATTACACGTTTTATTACACGTATTTATTATACGTTTTTTTCGCTCTAAATTAAATTTTTTATTATCAAGTTACATACTCATTATTGTGCACATTTCACAAACACATATATTTATATATATATATATTTATATATATATATATTTATATATATATATATATATATATATATATATATATATATATTTCGAAATGCACATGACACGTATATAATTTTTGTCTTCTATAAAGACACACAATTCTCACACACCTCGTTATTTTCAAATCCTCTATATTACGTGAAAATTTATTTTTCATTTTCTTGCGCTATTTTTATTCTTCCATCTTCTCGTGTTTCATCTCGTTATTTTTTGTCCCGCGCCTTTGTCATTCTCGTTACACCATCTTCCCCATCGATTCGGCTTCTCGTTCCCTTTGCACACCCTGCAACAACTCAGCTGCTTCGGAGCGGCATGATCAGCCCTTGTCGGAAGGGTGTCACGGTAGTTAGTCGACACACCGGAGTTTACGATAGAGCGACGCGACGTCGTAAATTCCTCGTGCATTGTTTGAGAATTTGTAAACGCTAATCGGTCCTCGTCGTGTCGACGAAAGATGCCACGATATCATTGTCATCCTCGTCATCGTCGTCGACGATGTCGTTCTTGTTGTCGCTTTCCGCTTCAAGATTAACGTCAACGAAGATCTCATCCGTCGTCGATGGATATTCGCGGAATTTTCACGCCGTCGCCCTGGCAAAATTTCTCAAATTCACGCCTGATGTCGCGCTGCACATTTATCGGATCGCTCGGGGAAAATGACTGGGCCGATAATCTATCCCTGATTCATATTGAAATATCGGAGGAATATTATTAGATCATTTCCCTCGGGTGCGTAGAGAGTATTAAAAATAATCGGGCATTTTGAGAAAGGTTTTCGTAATATCCGACTCATGTCTGTATTTTCGAAATTCACATTTTCTTTCTGTACTGTACACAATGCGACACGGATTTATTTATACAACGATATAATATATTTATCTATAGATTTATCATCGCTGACGATTATCGCACCGTTGATTATAGAGCATTTAAACGCGTAACATTCGTGCGTTACAACGAAAGCGCGATCGATTTAATCGCGCGGCGAAATATGTTTAACGCGTTATCAAATAATCAGAAATAATCTCGTAGAACAATGGTCGACAGATTAATCGCGTATACGCATATTATTCGCGTTTCGACGACGGGCATAAATCCTCGCGGCCGAAAATAAATATTCGTTCTTCGTAAAATTTCACGAGTACCCTATATTCCGATCGTATACTTATGATCGTATTTAATTTAATATGTGAATTTTATGCGCACCCCGTGCGTTATATATGTGTACACTTATAAATCAGTCGGGTCGACATCTTCTATCGCGTGTAACGCGCGCATGCAGGGGTTGCCCTGCCGGCGCAGTCTCTACCCTCCGATGGCGCGATGTGCAAACTCCATTATAGGAATTTTCCCTCCGAAGGCTACAAATATTTTACGATCGATCGACTAAAGGGAGACGGGTAAGTGCCGGTCGAAGGGTGACGGAGGAAAATCGAAGAGAATGCCGCTTGCCTGCCTGCATTACGATAGGTCAGCATCGAAATTGCGAGTCTTCAAAGAGCCCATTAGCCGGCACAAAGTGACATAAATCGCGCTTAAACGCAATACGACCGCGCGTTTAATGGGCAACAGGATTATCGCGGTAACTTGAGAATAAGCCCCCCTCGCTTAAAAATATTCCACTTAATCTTATAGTCAGTCTCCTGCCACGAATGCGTGCCCGCTCTTTACGATTTACGATAAGCTATTACTTTTCAACCGAACGAATCTGCATCGCGAAGATGATTTATTTTGCATTCGCTTTTAATAGCGAGAAGGAAATTGCATTAATTTCTTTATAATTTTTATAAATTTTCTTCAATATAGACAAGCGGAAGAAGACTATCACACACTGATGAAGAGATTAATAGCGTTTCCCGTTCAATTACTCCGACGTGAATTTACGATGCCGCTAATGCTGTTACGTTAAAATAATGATTTTTAGAGAACGACCTTCGCACCATGATGAAAACTAGTAGGCAGACAACGGAACGATGCATTACGCTTATAATGTGTCAATTTTGAGAGTTTACATTACAAAGTCTTTTATTATTTATTTATTTAATACAAAACAATATCATTTTATGCAATATTCTAAATTAATTTCGCATGCAAAAATTTCAAATTACGAAAACATTTTCTCTCGAATAATTATTACGTCATTGCATACTTCAACCCCAATATGTAGAATAGTTGATAATTTCATAGAACAACTTTAAGGCTCTGAGCGATCTTTTAAAGCGCTTATCGATAAACGATTGTTTAATTCAAGCAGAGTTAATCCGTCAAAGTCCACAATTCCCTGAAACTTGTCGACTACTATAACTATAATGTCCTAATTCACAGATGCTCCGATTCGCGTCTGCCAAATATTAATGTTTTTAATTTTGATTTTTATAATGTATCAAAATTTATGAAGTATGGGGCGCGTATAAGTGCAGTTATTGACGGCAGTAATTATGCGATTAAAGTTGCCAGCGAGCTTTAATGGGTTGATCGGCGAAGGCAGACAAGCGAGAGATTAAAAATGCCGATATCGGAAAGTTTGTATCGATCGGCCGATGCCGATATATCAAGCGAAAGAAGAGTTTCAGGACGTTAGAGAGAAACGCGTTAGAGAAATTGGCAGAGCCCGATGGGAGGAAAAAGAGGATGGATGGAAGAGGGATGCGATGCGGGCCCTTCTTGTTTCGTCCGTAGATAGAAAGCCAACTGCGGAATATCAGCGAAATTGCAGCTGAAACTGTTCCTTGGCGGCGATGCGCGTATTCGACGAGTTTCTCGGTTTAAACGCGCTTTATGCGACCGCGGACGAGAGAGAGGGGGAGAGGTATAAGAAGCGGATGTAGAAGATAAGTTATTGCTCGTCGAGGTATGCGCGCGACTACGTATTTCCTTGTACATTATATATTTCCGCTCGTGCGTCCGCATCTTTCTCCTCGTTCCACCGTCTATTGTCGACGGGATTACCCGTTGAAGGGTGTTCATGAACGCAGCGATGGTATTGCGTCGTACGTTTAGATTTAAATCCATTTGCGGCCGGCGAATCTTATATAATCGCAGCCGGCAAAGCGTATCGCGCTCGACCTGATGTTTCATTCGCATGGACGGAAAGATCCTCGGTCTCGCTACTTCAGAGAATATCTGGACGTATAATATGTGTCTTGAAATTATTGACACTGCAAGAAATGACAAGTTTCTCGATTTCGAAGCCGATTTTTTGTCATTTTTGAAATTGAGTGTCATTTTTTCAATTCTTCAACTTTTTATAAATTATATAAATATTATTAAATGTTTTGTATCTATTTTCAAAATATTGAGAATTTAATGAAAATTGTACAGAATGTCCTTACATATGTTTAGAATCTTCAGTACAATTTTTAAATCGATTCACTAAGGCGTTCACAAGTTATAGATTTTAATGTGCACCGAATATTAACATGTGTTCTTATGGGAAACGTATAACCACGTCGATTCAAATGATAAAAACACATGGAAATAATATTCAGAATTTGTTGAAAATTTGCAAAAGTTTAGATATAGAGGAAATATTTCGTCAAATAATATTATATAAATATTAACTGGTTAAAAAGATATTAAATGTAATTCAATGAAGTTAGCCAGCCATGTATCTGTCACAAGGCGAAATTCTCTGCCAAAAGTTAATCATTTTGATTAACAAAATTCGGAATATTTAAGTAAAAACGCAATAAATATTAAAAAATTCCTCTCTGCACTGTGGCTAAGATCAAATTGCAATATTCCACACAATTTCTCATACTCAAAATACACCAAAAGTGGAGATTCGTCAATATTGATTTTCAGCTACTTTTTGCTGGGATTGTACGCACAAAACATCCTTAACAAATAATATTTATATAATTAAATAATATAATAAATAATAATATCATTAATTTTATAAATTATATAAATATTTTTGTTTTAAGTGATCTTTATATTAAAATTTTGTCAAGTTAATAGTTGATAATTGAGAAAGAAGTGTGTCAATTGTGATATTTTTATTAAGGAAAAAGCGAATTTGTCAGAAAGAATCTGTTTTTACAGTTTTACTTACGCGTTTCATATACATGTGTCAATTTGTGTCTGCAAAGAATAAGATTAATAAGATCTTTCTTCAATCGCGATACAAGTCATTTCGCATAAAAGCTTTGAGGATGATGATTGTACGAATGAATATTAGACTCTCCAACCGTTATAACGCGCGATTGTATATTTCTCGCGGATTCGGCTGCATTTTCCATCCTTATGGATAAAACATAGCGGTTGCAGACGGTATTTTAAAGAAAAGGGTCAATTCCGCGCATTCCTGGCATTTCTCGCAGTCTGGCACCGTCGAGCGTGAAATATTTCCTGCTCGAGAATACTGCAGATACGCGTTCGACGGAAGACGCAATCGACTTGTCTCCTCTCTCTTTCTCTTTCTCTCCTATTTCATCATATCTTGCGCTTTCTCCATTTCCTCATTATTCTCGGACAAGTCCCTCGCGAGTTCAACGCTGGATCCTCGTTTCAGAGTTCCTCTTCTCCTTTTATTTCCTTCTTGAGTAAAAACACGATTTTTTTACGCGACATGTCCACTCGATATCAAAAGAAGAAATGTTCGGCGAGAAACAACAAGACGAGCGAGAATGGGGTAGCTGGGTAGAATGGGAAGCTGGATAAAACGAAGGAGATAGGCAGGAATGGATTGCAGAGACTGTGTACACTATATACACAGAGGGAGAAAAACCGAGGTGATGCTGTGTCGACCGGAATCGGTCGGTGGAGCCCACAAACGGCTCACAAAGAGATAATTTTGCGCGAGGGGTGAGCTTGTTTATACGTACCGGGTATCGATTTGCCAAGATCCAGGTACTCGCGCACAGACGGGCTCAGGAATCCGGGCGGCACGACCGGCGCTTCGTTCGTAGGATTATTCCTCTCGTCCACCGGATCATCGTAGTAATAATCGTCTTCGTCGGGATCGAGCGGCTTCGCTCGCTTCGACACTTTGTCGCCCCGACCGTCACGCGTGCCGTCTGTAAAAGAAACATTCTGCTATAACGTACAAGGATTAAGTAAAATTGTAAAAAATAATTACAGTATAAAATTGAAAAAATAATGTTAAACTGTCACTCAAATATAATATTTAACACGTTCTAAAAATTATGGCACATTAAAGTTTTAAATGTACTAATATTTTTTCGGATAATTTACGTTTAAATTTGTCAAGTTCGAATTAATTAATTTTTATTGTGTTAAAAAATTTGCAGGACTTTGTATTCGACATTTAAACGTTTGCTCATTGAAGCCGATATCAAATTATAATTGAAAAATTGAAAAATTATACAATTTTTTTTCTTGCAAACTAAATTAATTTTTTCGTTTTATTCGAGTCTGATATAATATTGGTAATAAAATACACATGTATATAACTTTCATCTGGACATGTCGCAGCATATTTCTAACCGAAATAGACTTGTGACAGTTGATCAAGATTTACAGTTATTTATTAATCAAATGAGAAAAGAGACTTCATTATATTCATTAATCTACTTGAACGCGAATGATGATTTATGTATGGAAGAAAAAAGCAATGTATTTTGGCACATGATTTTTCGCTTTTGATATAATTCGATAGGGACCTCGTCGATGAGCGACCAGGAATCTCAAGTATTCTGATTCATCGAAATCCGAGTCAAAATTGTTGCTCCACGGGACTAATGGTTGCATTATCTCTCTAATTGCATTGTCCACTCGCCTTTCTTCCCGTACTAATTCGCATGATTGAAGTTCTACTATTTCTGCTGTTATTTTCTTCCTGATGAGTCTCGTCTGTACGCGGAAGAGAAAGAGCGGATTCGGAAAGGAGAGAAGGAAGCGCCGCGCCTGCAGCCTCCGGGGGCTTGGTCATTTGAGCAATCTGAAATTTAAATCATTTGAAAATGCGGCCGACCGTCACGAGGTGGTTCCCGGAGGTAAACAAATTTTTACAGTCTCTTTAATTCATGCGGAGGAACGTTTAATCGATATTGTCCACGCCGCCCGCTTGTTTTTCCTCCGGGAGGAAAAATATGGCCGCGTAATACAGGCGGTACCGCAGACGCATACGGTATGGTATTTGCGTTCCAGATGTGTTTCGTTCGATTCGCAAGATTCCTCCCCTATCGTACGTCCTCGCTGAATATTAATACGTCGTTCGCGGGGATTTTCGCGAAACCTCCGTGCGCTCGAAATATTTGCACTTTATAGTACAGCGCGTCTTTACCAGGCACGTCAAACATCGGAACTTTCCGTAATACACGATCGACTCGATGTCGAGGAACGCGACCGATAACGGTTCGATAAGGGGAGGGGACGCTGCGCTTGAAATTAATTAGCACCGGACTCCCGAGGCGTGTTAATTTCATTATCGAGTACGGAGTCGCGTCGACCGTTTATACGAATGTATCGTGAATAACGCAGTAGATATCGGTCCACGGTGGCTGCAAAACTTGGACGGTCCTCCTTTCGGTAGGTATGTATCTCGCGAAACTTTGCGCGATCTATAGCGCGAATGAACCAAGTTTTATCTCGGTCGAGGACTGGGTCAAGCCTGGAAAATCTCGAGTCTCCGGTCCTTTAGAATAAAAGTAGCCGCCGCTATAATACGAAAAGTTGCCGAGGAAAACCGACGAGGATTGTACACTTTTATAAAAATAATTTAAAAAATATTTATACGTGGAAAAATTAAACATCGAATTTTAAGGAATAAAATTGTCATCGGTTCATAATTAAATGATAAAATTTCCTCCTCTAGAACAATATCGTATTCACGAATACTTACGTGCGAAACAATTGGTGAGCTTTCCATCGCATTTGTATAAAAGTACATTCACGATCGGCGGGATAAATTTAACCGCGTAATCGCGGCGTGAATCCTTAGTAGCGCGCATTATTTGCGCGAAGTAACACGATGGAGATAACGCGCCTGTTATTCCGGTTTACGGAAAGCTGCGCGGAAACTCTGCGTGTTCATCCTATTTGATGCCGGCTGTCGCGTCCGTGCCGCGGAAGCTAATTAATGGCTCATATCGACGAGGCGAACTTTATGCGTCAAAACGTCGTCGCGGATTAATTCGCGCGCGGGCTTCGCAATCGGACAGACGCGTCGAGACAGCGATACGTCTGTCCGCTATTTTTTTTTTTTTTTCGCCACTTCCTCGTGCGAATCCGCGTCATCGATCGCGCGTAAAACGCGATTTTAATGTTACGCGCGCGCGACCCGAAAACTGTAAATACTATTAAATATCGCGAAATATTTCCGCTCGTGCAAACGTCGTTCGACGTTTTAATAAAATACATTCCCGCTTTTTCGGAACGCGATGCCACGCGCGCGTTCATAACGGCGGGGAAATAATCGTTACGCTTGTGAAAATTTACGCGTCATTTCTTATCGCATTATTCGTTGTTTGCCGAGCATCGTCCTCAAATACGCGGTGTCTACATAATCCTATAAATACACGAGTGACGTAATAACGTTAATTCCTATTTCATTTCGTTCGATAATAATTTGCGCCGCGGGATGCGAAATTACTGAGAAATTACTTGATAATATCGGTATTGAAAATATTTCGCTTTTCATGTATACGATCGTTACTTCTTCGGCTAGTTTTACAATTGCGCGTCCGTAGCTCTTTATCCAGCCGTGTATTTACATTGTTATGTCGCTCGCAAAAGGGGGTCGAGTTCCGGAATATAATAAATATTGTCTATCCATCCGTCCGTCTCCGCTTTCTATTAAAGGAGCAGAAAGGAGCACGAGGGAAAAAGAGTCGCGCGCGACGTAACTATTTTCTGCGTTTCGTGACGTGCAAATATCCCAGGGAAACGGGCGTTTTAATATCGCGCTGCTGTATGAAAATTCGCCAACGGGCGAAAGAAGGTACACAGAGAGAGAGAGAGGGAGGGAGAGGAAAAGACGGGAAAATGGGGGGAGCAAGCGGGAACTGTAAAAGACAAAAAGAAAAGGAGAGCGAGGGGGGGGGGAGAGAATGGAAAAAATATGATCGTCTTCTTCCGCGAGGATGTTTCTTTCTCTCCCTCCGCACACGTTGGAAATGCGTGTCGTTCACGCGGTCGAGAAGAAAAAAAAATCCTCCGATTACGACCGCAAACACCGATCTCGCTAATTCGTATTTATCCGCGCGTGACGCCGATTATGCACGCGCGTGCATCGAAACGAGACTCCGAACCGAGGCCGGGAAGGGAGGTCAAGCGATCGCGCGCGAATGCAGCGGAATGCATGCTCATTATCCGAGCAACGCATTTCCTTGCACGGGCTTCAAAGAACGTTAAATATATATGACGATACGAATAATGTGTGACCTCGTCGTGCGTTTATTAACAATTCGTTACTGAGGCTTATTGTCGATTTTTATTTAATAATTCTGACAAATGTCATGTTACACGGGAACATTAGAGTCATTAGAGCCTCGAGAAGATGCTAAAAGCATCTATAATTTTCTTGTACAGTTATCTCTCTCTGTCACGCGACGATGATGAATGTTTTCGAACGAGCGTTAGCGATATAAATATATATACGTTCGATCAAATAACGTTTGTTATATTAAATGCCACGGATAAACACGTGTAATTATTCGACCATGATCGAAATGCCGAATAATTATCAAATGCTCGATGCACACCGGCGGTATAAAAGTAGGTATCAAGCGTACTCGACCCGGAACTGAATTATCGCGCTGGGGTGTGTAATAACGCATGCATGGACGAGCGCTGCTCGCGAATCGATTCCGACCCGGTCTGCCCCGAGGAGGCAGCGGCGGTGGTGAATTCAAAAAAAGTTTCTATTTCCGAAAGACAAATCGGGATATGATGCTACTGTCCGTCGAAGGCCAGCTGTCTGATAATTGACTATCGATAGCGTGTGATAATTAACTATCGATCGCACTTCTCCATTAGTTGGCTTATTTTCGGTGGCCTAATTATTTCCTCTCACGCTGAGAAGAAACGTTGCAATCGTAATTTAAAAACAGAGCCCACATTACAGGAGAGTAATCGTTCATTATAAAAATCTTGAAGTTTATATCCATCTCCTGAGACTTTGAAAAATCGCAAAAAAGTCGTAGAAATGTTGGAAAAAAACTAAAATTGTTACGATTATTACAATTGAAAAAGAATTTACATATTACAATATATAGAATATTTTCATGATAATAACTTAAATATTTATATAATATTTTATTCTTATTTTCATAATTATTATTTAAATTCTAAATTCTAAATTACAAGAGTTGGCTAAAGAAAAAGAATTTATTATGTAAGAAATGATACTATTTACGTAACGATCCTGCGATTGCGCATACACAATCTTGTTTCAATGAAGAAATATTCTTGTTCACAAATTGAAAGAAGACATTCCATGTTTTAGAAGCTTTCACGTACGCGATAAATATAGTTCAATGGTTGGCTATTCATCAGTTTCGTATTTTAATCAATGGGATGTAAATGTATGTAATCGATATAAAATGAATTTAAAGAAAGACTTTATCATTCAGAATTATATATAATTATATAACAAAAATTCTAAACGGCGAATAAAAATAGTGTACTCGTAAAATGTAGTTGGCAGGTCTTTCACATTTTTATCTATTATCGCTATTTGCTTATTAATTAATACTTGCAGATAAGTTAGAACAAAATTTATTTACCATTCATTATATTACAATCGTACAGATGAAAAATTCGAAAAGTATCGTAATTGTAAAATACACAGTCGCTATTTCCAACGGCGAAAGAGATTGAAACCGTAAACGCGACGATAGATCGTGGTAAATATGATACCACAAAAGGATAAATAGTAAACGGTGTGATAATCTGCAAAGGAAATACGAGGCGCGGAAAAAGGATGCCGGGGATAAAGAAAGGGGAGAGTATAAGGTGCTTATTTAACCGATGGGTGTAAGGTGTTTAACCGTCATGCGCGTCCTTTCGGCTCTCTTTAAATAAAGTATATATACGACGTTTAGAGAATTCGATA